TTAAAATTTTTTTAAAATATTTAATATATCTGTTACGCTTAATAATATAAAGTATATGCTTTGACAAAGTATTTAAAAAAATAGGTTTGAGTGCTGAAAAATATGAAAAAAATATATATAAATTACCATAATTTTAAGGACAAATTTTTCTATTTTCTTAAAATTTTTTTAAAATATTTAATATATCTGTTACGCTTAATAATATAAAGTATATGCTTTGACAAAGTATTGAAATATAGTATCATATTTATTTATTTCACGACCGAATTTTTAGGTCGAGTTTCTTAATTGAATTGGATATAATATAATTTAAACATAAAGTCTCCTACCAAAAAGATTTTAAATGTGACAAAAGTATATAGATTTATATTATTTCTATGGTTCCAACAGCAGACTAAACAAATTGTTGCCTTGAGGCAGGCTTTATTTAGCTTTACTTTTGAAGAGAAAAAATATTATCCAGGGGCCTATAAATTAATGCTAAGAATTTTCTTTGTTGACAATGTTTCTAAGTTAAATATCGCACGAGAAAGTTGAATGTAAAACTTGGAATTTTCTACATATTGGAGAGTTACATTATCAGATCAGCAGAAAGTCTACTTGGAGCTAGGCAAGATTTCCATTGTTTTCAATTTTAATTAACAAATATGGCGTAGCTCTCAGGGAGAGTATATTCGCACTAATTAATGCAGAGACGGGCGCAAAGATTCACACCATGAAATGCAGAGGCCAGAGGACAGGGGACACAGGGCAACAGGTGATGCTTGCCCAAATGGCTGCAATCAATTAAGAGGCAACAAAGTCAGCCAAGACCGAAACGATGTTCAGTTCAGAGAGTCCTGCAAATTAATGAACAGCAGCGCAGCGAATCGAAGTAAGTAGCAAACGGTGGACACCAATGCGAGGCGATGCGATGCGAAGCTGGGAGAGATGATTGTCTCATATTTGCATATTCATGTGTCAAAGCGAAGTCGCCAGCTGTGGTCGCTGGCACTGATTGCTTGGCAAATGTATCTGTGTCTGCATTTCTCTGCATGTATCTGTATCCTGGGCACTTACAACAGCAATTACTTCCGCCTAACTGGTCAACGAAATTGCTGCTGATGCTGCAGTTGCTGCTGTTGTTGTTGTTGCTTTACTTTAATTAGTTGTTTTAGTTTGTCTAGCTAAGTGAGTGTCTGGTAAATAGGAAAAATAGTAGTCGCCGAAGAATCTGAAGTCGGAGTGTACCCTAATGGAACTAAACTTTGAGAAAATGCGTTTTGCCTGTTAATGGACGGTACGCAGCAGCTCATTAGATATTCCCTTTTCCATGCTAATATGCAAGCACTCAATGTGCAAATAGTTTGAGAGCTGCTACAACTACAACACGACTACAATCTTGCCCTCTCCCCATCTCTCGCTCACTATCTGTCTCTCTGTGGCTCAAAGCCTAACGGCATTCGTAGTGCCAGCCTGGGCCAGGATGAGAGGCATTTGCTGCCTTGGCCACTTATCGTCATCACTGAGGGAAAACGGGCATTGCTGGAGCATCGGCTTTTGCGGTCTAAAGATGCTTTCGACACACCTCGGGCCTTTTTGGCTTGCCTTGAGCCTGAGCTGAGTGTGGCTGTAAGATTATGGAGTCAATGGGTAGAGGATAACTCTTTGACAAAGAGAAAGACATTCATGCAAATTGTGTTAAGAGAAAGCAATTGAATAAATGTATGATGTATAGAGAATCGATTAATATTGGGACATGATGGATAAGCATTGTATAATGAGAAATCTGTAGCAGAAATGAAATCTACTCTTTGCCATTCGTTTGTGCATCTCTCTTGTATAAATAAATGATAATAATATATTGGTACTACTATAGTTAGAAATGTAAACGTATATATAAAAGCGTTAAAGTTGTTTAATAGATAGATTAGAATAAACAAACACAACACAAATCAAAAATCTAATACATAAAAAAA